GTCGTCCTCCAGGGATACTTTTGGCCGACGATAATGAGGGATTGCGCCGACTGTGCAAGGAGGTGTGAGACATGTCAAAAGTTTCAGAAGAGGCCCGGCCGGCCGGCAACGATGTACACGCCGATCAGCACCGCCCTTCCATTCACGAGATGGGGCATCGACCTGGTCGGTCCCTTGCCAACTGGGTCGGGAAACCAGAAGTTTGTAATCGTTGCGGTGGACTACTTTACGAAGTGGGTTGAGGCCGAGCCGCTCGCAAGCATCACACATCTCCAGTGTAGGGAATTCATATGGAAGAATATTTTTTTCCGGTTCGGAGTTCCCCTCCAAATAATCTCCGACAACAGGAGGCAGTTTGACTCCAAGGCCTTCCGGCAGTTTTGCGCAGAGTGGGGGGTGGAGTCCAACCGAGTCGCTACCCACAAGCAAATGGACAAGTGGAGAACACCAACCGGAAGATCGTCAATGGACTGCCTGAGTGGAAGAATTAAACAATATACTCTGGACCTTCAGGACGACCCCGAGGATGGCAACCGGGGAAACCCCTTTCGCCTTGTGTTATGGCTTTGAGGCACGGGCGCCGTTTGAGGCTGTAGTCCCTAGTCGGCGAGTCGAAGACTTCGAACCAGCCGACAATGAGGAGAGGCTCAGATCCGAACCCCACCTCATTGAGGAAAGAAGGGACCGAGCCTTCATCAAAGCAGAGAACTATCGACGCCAAGTCAAGGCATACCAGGACTGCCGAGCCTAGCTGCGGAGCTTCGATGTGGGTGATTACGTCTTGAGGCATAGGAAGGCCAGCAAGCCGACGGAGGGAGGTAAGCTTTCCGCCAAGTGGGAAGGCCCCTATGTGATTGACGCTGTGGTCGGTCCCGGGACGTATAAATTGAAGACGACGACAGGTCAGCTAGTAGACCGTGTCTGGAACGCTGAGCACCTGATGAAGTTCCACCAATAAAGTAACGAAGTTTCACTTTTCTTTGTAAACTCCTGTGCTCCGAGCATGGGGTTACGATTTGGAATTCTTCATGTGGTCCGCCCACATCATGAATTCAATATACTTTGCTAGCGATATTTTGTTTTCAAAAGAGGTCCGACCTCACTTAGCAATTAAGGGCGGCGGCAAAAAAAAAAGAAAGAAAGAAAAAAAAGAAAAAAATGAGTACTATGCCCCCCCTCGGTGTTTGGCCGACCTCGGTCAGGCTCTTGAACTGAAAATAGCCAAGTGATTTTTGAAAATCCAAGCTATTTTCTAAAGTAAAGAGTTAACCGCGACAGTCGAGGCGACAGTAGGGCCGACCTCCGGGTCGAGAGCGCTCAAGAGGCCGACCTCCGGGTCCATCTGAGTGTTCGCCGCCCGATGTTGCCGGCCAAGCAGCTCGCACTCTCGCCATCCCCGAGTTGGCGGTGCGGGTCCGTTCTGGTGGATCGCGCAGGGTCCGCCCCTGTTGTTTGGCCAACCCCGCGGGAGTAACCAGATTATTCCCCAAGTCCGAACAAACTGGACGGGTTTAAGCGACAGTAGGACTGACCCCCGGGTCATGACGTTCGGGGTGCCGACCTAAGTGTCCACCTCGAAAGTTCAATGTCTGACCTTGCTGGCCGAACAAGTCGCATACTTGCTGATTCCATATCAACAGCGAACAGATCACTTCTATCCAACTGGGAGGGGCACGGATAGGCTCGGCCACGCCAGCCAAACCACCCCCCTAGGAAGTTAGAGAAGCCGGATCCCCGAATAAATTGCCTAAGTGTTTGTGATGCAAAGTATAGAAAAAGAAACATATGGATTAAAATTAAACATCCACTCAAAATTACATCTCTCAACTTCAAGTTACAAAAAGAAAAGTAAAATGTCATGGCGGGGGACCATCAGGAACCGAAAGAAGCTCTCTCAAATCTGAACTCCAATTTCGTCCTCTGGAATTAGCTCTCTACCTGCCTTCGTGGAGAAGACCCCAATTGATCATACTTGAAGGCGAACGAGATGAAGCTCTCAAGGATTCCACGTGGCAATCTTGGCCCTATCGACCTCATGTTGAAATTTTCCAGCAGAAGACCAATGCCCCAATGTGCTCCAACCATCTTGGATGGACCCTGCAAAACGATGACGAACCATCATCAGAAAATCACGAGAATCAAGTTAATGATCTGCTGATCGGTTGAATCACCACTACCGACTCATCTTGGGGGAGCGGCAAGCCGACCCATCACCAGTACAGGCTTCCTATGTGCCTGCCGAACTCAAGGTTTCCGTCGAACCTCACGCTGCCATCATAAGTGCTAACTCACAGCCCATGGAGGTCATTCGACACATTGATCCACACGAGCAAAAGGTAGTGGAAGACACCGAGTTGAGGTCTACAGTTTGCACTCATCTCATCACTCATGATTTGGGAATTTTAGGAGCAACCTGTTTTCAGCCATCCCACGAGGGGACTTCTTCTCAACATGGCCGACTTGGCTACGGGGCTGCCGTATCACAATTAGCAACATCAGACTGTCTAAATTCGGCGATTGGCTAAGAGGGAATCAAACAACAGAAGGTTACTCACAGTCATCCAACTTCAGGGATCCGTAGCCAACCTGTCCGGCTGACCAGAGGTACATCCACCGACCTGGGAAATTGCGCCGCTGACCAGGGTTACCGACCTACAGCCTATCGGATTCGAGGCTCACCGGACAACGCGAAAGACAAAGAAGGACGTCAGCTGGTTGCTGTCGGCCGTAAAGCTTCTCACAGTACAGGAGCCATTGCACCGCCCAACCGCCTGGCCGCCCGGCCGCCTAGCCGCCTAGCCGCCTGACCGCCTGGTCACCCGGCCACCGAGCCGCCTTGCCGCCCGGCCGCCTGGCCGCCTCGCTGCCCGTCCGCCCAGCCGCCCAGGCGCCTTACCGCCTGGCCGCCTTGCCGCCCGGCCGCCTTGCAAGCCCGGTCGCCCGGCCGCACAGCCGTCTGGCCGCTTGGTCGCCCGGCCGCCTTGCCGTCCGGTCGCCCGGTCGCCTTGCTGCCCGGTCGCCTTACCGCCTGGCCGCCTTGCCGCCCGGCTGCCTTGGCGCCCGACCGCCCGGCCCGGCCGTCTGGCCGTTTGGTCGCTCAGCCGCCTTGCCGCCCGGTCGTCCGGTCGCCTTGCCGCCCGACCGCCAGGCCGCTCGGTCGCCCGGTCGTCCGGTCGCCCGGTCGCCCGGTCACCCGGTCGTCTGGCCGTTTGGTCACCCGGCCGCCTTGCCGCCCGGCCGCCCCGGTCGCCCGGTCGCCCGGTCGCCCGGTCGCCCGGTCGCCCGGCCGCACAGCCGCACAGCCGTCTGGCTGCTTGGTCGCCCGGCCGCCTTGCCGCCCGGTCGCCCAGTCGCCTTGCCGCCCGACCGCCTTGCCGCCCGGTCGCCCAGTCGCCTTGCCGCCCGGCCGCCTTGCCGCCTGGCCGCCCGGTCGCCTTGCCGCCCGGCCGCCCGGTCGCCTTGCCGCCCGGCCGCCCGGTCGCCTTGCCGCCCGGTCACCTTGCCGCCTGGCCGCCAATCCAACTGCCCGACTGCTATCTGCTTGGCATGTCAAAGAAAAGAAAAGCAAAGAAAAAATGGGGAATTTCCATAATCTGTGGATTTGACAGAATCCGCAATTATTGCTCACTGGTATGTGAATATTCTCTAATTGGCGGCTGACTTGGACTACTCCCTTTTAGCCGAGTCTACTACTCGACTAAGGGAGTGGGGGACTCGTGATGGGATTATGGGACTAGGCCCAATGCCCAATCAGACTTGGCCCCAAACTTGGATCAGCAGGCCCAAGCCCACGACTGTTGTCTCGCCAGGCAAGCCCAGCTAGTGAACCAAGCGATCAGATATCAGGTCGACCCAACCGACCGGGCCCATCAGGGAGTGGAAGTCCAGCGGAGCAGAAGCCCAAGACGGCCTGCCTACCGGCCCAACCGGAAGCCTGTCTTCGGTCTAGCGAGGAGCCTGATTCCGGCCCAGCGGAAGCCTGTCACCCAGGGAGCCCGAGCGCCCAGCCTGCCAGCCAGGGAAGAGCAACGGCCAGCCAACCAGTGAAGAGTAACGGCCAGGCATTAATACGATATTTATTTATGTGATTAATTATGTATTAACATGGTAATTAAATTAGCCATTATAACGTTTGGCAGTTACCATTTGTAATCGCCTATATAAGGCAAGTTGGATTCAAATAATAGACAAGTTATTTCTGGCTATCAAACTCTCTAGCTACTTTCCTTATTCGTATTACTTTCCTGATTTCTGCTTGAGTGTTCTTACGTAGCTTTCCTAAAAGCCTACGAGCGTCCTATTTTGGACCAACACTTTCATTATATCACACAGATTTTGGGGCAGCTTCCAGTAATATAACACTATACTCCGTATTATTTAGTTTAAATTAGTTCAATCATTATATTCTACGTTTACACGTCGACTGACATGCCACTTTTTGTGTGTGCGCATAAACAATTATTTTTCATATTTGTAAAGATAATTGTGTGTGACCCTGAAAACGGAAACGGATTACTAAAACACTTGGCGGTAAACATGCGTGTACAAATTGATTAGAATGATTACCTTTCAATTGGAGTAGTGTTGTGTAGATATAAGCTAAGCGTACGTTATAACTGATTCAAAAATAGCTTAACCTCATTTGGTTGTTTGTCTGATTGTCTCCCTAATTGTTAAATTGTGATAAGAGAATAGCCCATCACCTATATGTGTGTTAGCATCCTAGTAATGACTTTGTATATGATTGCGTGCGTTTTGAGTATTATTAGTCGGACTCGAAACTAAATTTACCCTTATACCATATTAACATTTGGAATAAGAGACGTAACCTTCTTATATGTTAGTTTGAATAACTGCCGATTGGAGCAAGATGGTTTACAAACAAATCGTTTATTACTATCCAGTTTTTCACTTTTTAGGGGAATCGAAGCATACCTACGTTTTTTCTCGATATACTAGTATAAGAATATTTCTTGTCATTGTATTGAGAAAGTTTCTACTTGTCTTTCAACAGATTCTTTAAGGTGGTGGCTTTTATTGGAGGTTCTTACAACTTTCTAGTTATTTTTCTTCCTAATGGAAGTCCGTTGTGGCGAGTGGTGGTCATCATAGATGTGGTACTAATTAAAGATCTTATATATACACACTTACACATTTTACCTTTCAAAAAAAAGGCTTGATGACTAGTAACAATATGTGGTAACATTTTGTTTTTGTTTGTACAATTAAGATTGTTAACATGGTCCAAGCTTCAAGCGTGGGAGCAACAATGTACACTTATTTTCTTCTCCGGGATGGGAATTCTCATGTGAAATGGTGGCCAGTTTGTAAAGTGTCGCCGGCATTTTGCTCGAAGGTTTTAGGAGCCACCATTGCCGGTGCGCTCGGCCTTCTCTTCAACTTCACACTCATGTGCTACGCAGTTTATATTATTGTCGATCCTCTTCTCCATTATGCCGACCAAAGAGGATGATAAGATTAATTAATGGCCTTAATTTATACGGAGTACGTCAATCTAACTAGTGTTTAGATTGTGTGTGTTCGTGCTAGTCCAAGTTTTACTATGTTTGAATGTATGTTTGAATGTATTGTAGTTTTTAATGACGATAATTGCTTCGAAACTCTCGAATAAAATGTTCAACTATCATTTCAGCTCAATTTTGAATGAGTTTTCTACTCATAAATAGGTAGTGGATCAGATGGCTTTTGAGTTATTACGAGTTTATTAATTAGGAAAGAAGAATCGTAGAATCTCGAGGTGTCAACTGTGATTTAATGTTCATGATGATTCTCTTGTTTTAATATGTGTACAAGTGTTCAATGTTCTCCTTTCATAAAAACAATATGTGACGAGATGACTTTTTACACGATGCGTGAGTTTCACATTTCGAATATATCACACACTGCTCGTCAAACTGAACGTAACTTGTTTCGTAATTACAAACATTTAATCTTAGACCATATTTACACGACATAGGTGACAGTCTAAATAAAAGAACAATTTGTAATTTTAGTCGGTACTCTGTGTTTGTGAATATAATTGCCACATTTTCACTTAACAGGTACATTCAATGGTGCCAAACTGCCAATCATGCTAACATTTGTAACTTTTACCAGGAACTCATTCCATACAAAAGAAAATAACAAGAGTAGTAAATGTGTATCTACTATGACATGTGATCAAATGTCATGAAATGGATGCTTTCTTTGGACTGAAATTTGTTGGTATGATCTTGTCTACTCTGAATTGATCAAGTCTGGTAAATAAATGATTTTTGTGTATTTTATAACTATAGAGTCGTCTGTCTGGTTTGGTCTGTCCTGTTTGTAAATTCAAATTTGTGTGTTGATGTGTCCTAAAAGGTGGCCCTTGTTTAACTTGTGAGCTATTTTTTCGAATTTCATTTTCATCTTTTTCTCTCTTAAAGGACGAAAAAAGCTCTCAACATCTAATTTATTTACTGCCACCAATTCAACGGGCTGCTCTTCTAATAGAATTATTTTTATTTTTATTAAAACGGCAACATACTCTTCTAAACAAATGCGTAGTACATATTAATAACTATTTGTTGTAAATTCCTGAGAAACACATGGGTGAATTGTTCATCCTTGTCATTAGGACACCTAGCTATTCATCATCCTTGTAATGATCCTTGTAACCTAGTTAGAACAGGTGGCTCAATTTGTTATTGCCACCAAATCTGTAGACTCATCATTTAGGTGACTAATCATCAAGCTCAAACACTATAAATAGGAGCTTGATGAAGTCTTGTAAATAAATTCAAGCAATTCAGAGAACTCAGAGAAATTGTTATATTAAGAAGTTATTTAGAGGTTATCAATAATATATCTATATCTTAAATCTGTTCTTCATCTCCTTCATTTCACAACACGTTATCAGCACGAATCTGCTCAAAACTCTCCAAGAAATTCATCTCCCTGCAGGTATGAATATCATTATTATTTCTCTTTAATCATAAACTCTTTCGAACATAAATACTCCGTATAATTTTATTATGATTACTCAACATCTCACATCATAATAAAAGGATAATAAACAAATAAAGATGCATACCTTTACATCTTCAGTCGTTGGCTTTAATAAGTCTTTTGAGTAGAGGCAACGAATAAAGAAAATAATGATAGAAGAAGGTGATGATAGGAAAACTAAGTAAGATAAAGAACCCAATATAGTTGATGAATACTTGGATTCGCTAATCGTAATGGACATCTGAGAGGATATGAATAATAAGAATGTAATAGACAAACGAGTTATAAAAGAAGAAATGGTCTGAATATAAAGATGGAGTTACTGCTGCCGTTGTTCAGACTAAAATAAATGCAACTCACGGACATGCTTTGATAAAATAAATTCATTGCATAATGACAGGTAAGATTGTTGTTTTTAGAGTTCTAGACTATTCAAATATCACCTAGACTATTACAGATTGATATATGTGGTCAGATAATTTACATGCATGCTTACAGTCTAATTTGTAGTTTTTCACTTTGTGACACGTATAAGAGGCCTCATCTAGTCACGAGAGGTCTAAACAAATACCTCGTTGTACGTAATACTAAAAGTAAGGCAAGTCACTATTTCAATTCAAAATTATTGACTACTTGTCTACTTGAACCTTGGTTCTCTGAATGAATATTTGGCTTTTTAATCTGTAGGTGTACTCAAATTAGTTTCTACTATTTATTAATACGAAATAATCGAACTTCAATTTTTATGACACATAACTATACAAATTACAGTTACTTAATCACGTTCATTATAAAGTTTATTATCAAACACAGAGTATTACAAGTAACACTTAAAGAATATGTACTTACTCTACGTTTATTATTATTATGAATGCATAAAATTAAAGACACGTACATTGCTAAACTTTATGTATAAAATGAATAACATACTTATTTGTTAATATTTAGACTATATTTTAAAATCATATATTTTGTAAAATGTTTAGTAATGAATGTACATTAATAATTCTTGTAGTATATCATGGCAAATATAAGCAAAAGAGAATTCGATGTTCTTGATCTGTCTGGACAAAAATACCTGGAATGGAAAGTTGATGCATTAGCACATTTGAAGGCTAATGGTCTTGAAGACACTATTGAGGCAAATAAGCCATCATCTGCCCAAGACAAAGCGAAAGCTATTATTTTCCTCCGTCACCATCTCCATGAAAGTCTCAAATCTGAATATCTTTTGGTTGATGATCCAAAAGAATTATGGGACAATTTACAGGAGAGGTATGGCCACCAGCAAAAGGTCCTTTTGCCTAAAGCTCAATATGACTGGATCAATCTAAGATTCCAGGACTTTAAATCTATCAGTGACTATAATTCTGTCATGTTCCAAATAACATCCAAACTTAAGTTATGCGGACAAAAAGTCATTGATGCTGATATGTTGGAGAAAACTTTTTCTACTATGCATATTTCTAACATGCTGCTTCAACAGCAATATAGAGAAAAAGGTTTTAAAAAATACTCCGACCTTATATCAGTTTTATTGGTCGCTGAGCAAAATAATGACCTTTTGATGAAAAATCATAATCTGAGACCCACTGGTTCTAGTCCTTCGATTTATGGTCCATCTGGACATAACATTGCCACTGAATCAAACGCAACACACAGTGGCACACGAAGGCATTTTAAACGTGGGAATTTTAGTGGTCATAATAACAAGTCCCACCGAGGATATAAACGGGTCGAAAGACCAAATTACAAGGGCAAGGGCAAACAAAAAGCTCATCAAACAAATCGCCCTACAAAAACCTCGGTGAAAACGACTTGTTACAAATGTGGCATGACGGGACACTGGGCTAACAAATGCCGTACTGCAAAACATCTTGTGGAGTTATTTCAAGCTTCCATAAATTTAAACAAAGGCAAAAATGTGGAAGCAAATTATGTCAATGACACAACTCCATCTCTGCCAAAATTTGATGTGTCCGACTTCTTCATGGATGATAGAATAATGGATGATGCATTTGCCACTGATCAAAATAACACAAAATAAATTATAAGACTTTTATGTCATCGTGTACTTTTTATTTAGATTAACTTTATGTTGTTTTCATAAATAATGATGTAATATATGTACTTTCATGTTATATATGATGTATAATTTGTGTTACTTGCATATCAAACTTATGCTTATTTATTTATATATATTGAAGATATGGATCACTCAAATGATAAAGAGCTATGTCTGATAGACAGCGCCACAACGCACACCATTCTGAGAAATAAAATATATTTTTCTCAAATGACTTTAGTTGAAGCTAAAGTCAATACAATATCAGGTATTGCGAAGCTCATCGAAGGCTCTGGGAAAGCATATGTGATGCTCCCTAACGGGACAAAAATAATTATAAATGACGCTTTATACTCCAGCAAATCGCGGAGAAATTTATTAAGTTTTAAAGACATGCGTCAAAATGGTTATCACATAGAAACCATGAATGAAAACCAAAAGGAATATCTTTGTCTTATGACAACTAAATTTGGCACTAAATATATTTGTGAAAAATTGCTAGCATATTCCTCAGGGCTATATTTCACTTATATTAGTCCATTTGAAATAAATTTGGTTTCTAACACAAAGTTAGATGATCAGAAAACATTCATGTTGTGGCATGACCGTTTAGGTCACCCAGGCCAAGTAATGATGCATAAAATCATTAAGACTTCACTTGGACACCAATTAAAGAATATAAGGGTTCCAATATCAAGGGATTTTCCTTGTAAGGCCTGTTCTCTTGGCAAAATGATCATCAGGCCTTCTATGAACAAAATTGCAACTGAATCACCTGCATTTTTAGAAAGGATTCAAGGAGATATTTGTGGGCCGATAGCCCCACCATGTGGACCATTTCGATATTTTATGGTGTTGATTGATGCTTCAACACGTTGGTCACATGTTAGTCTTTTATCGACTAGAAATTTAGCATTTGCTAAACTCCTCGCTCAAATTATACGATTAAGAGCTCATTTTCCGGATCATTCTATAAAGACAATCCGACTTGATAATGCAGGAGAATTTACTTCCCAATCATTTAACGACTATTGTATGTCGATTGGGATTGATGTGGAGCACCCTGTTGCTCATGTCCATACACAAAATGGTCTTGCTGAATCTTTGATTAAACAATTACAATTAATCGCTAGACCATTATTAATGAAGTGTAATTTACCTTCATCAGCTTGGGGACATGCTATTTTGCATGCAGCAAATTTAATTCGGCTTAGACCGACTGCATATCATGAATATTCTCCAATGCAATTAGTTACTGGACAAGAGCCAAACTTAGCACACATAAAAATATTTGGTTGTGCTGTTTATGTTCCGATTGCTCCACCTCATCGTACAAAAATGGGTCCTCAAAGAAGGTTGGGAATTTACGTTGGATTTGAATCTCCCTCAATAATCAAATATCTTGAACCGATGATTGGTGACTTATTCACCGCACGGTTCGCTGACTGTCATTTCAATGAGACAGTATTCCCAACCTTAGGGGGAGAAACTAATAAATCGGACCCAAGTACGAAAGAAATAACATGGAATGCAACAGGATTATCACACCTTGATTCTAGATCAAATATATGTGAGCAAGAGGTGCAAAAGATAATC